CTGATGAACATACATGCCAAAATCCTGAACAAAACACTAGCAAATCGGATCCAGCAATACATCAAAAAAATTATTCACCATGACCAAGTGTGATTCATCCCAGGGATGCAAGGCTGGTACAATATTCGCAAATCAATTAATGCAATACACCACAAAAACAAAATGAAGAATAAAAACCACATGATCATATCAATAGATGCTGAAAAAGCATTCGACAAAATCCAGCATCTATTTCTGATAAAAACGCTCAGCAATATGGGAATAAAGGGATCATATCTCGACATAATAAAGGCCATATATGAAAGACCTACAGCCAACATCATACTCAATGGGCAGAAAATAAAAACATTTCTCTTAAGAACAGGAACAAGACAGAGATGTCCACTTTCACCCCTCTTATTTAACATTATACTGAAGGTCTTAGCCACAGCAATCAGACATGAAGAAAAAATAAAAGGGATCCAAATTGGAAAGGAGGAAGTGAAACTATTATTACTTGCATATGACATGATATTATACATAGAAAACCCTAAAGACTCTATCAAAAATCTACTAGACCTAATAAATGAATTTGGCAAAGTAGCAGGAAACAAAATTAACGTCAAGAAATCAACGGCATTCTTATACACCAATAATGAACTCACAGAAGGAGAAACTGAAAAAACAATCCCATTTACCATCAGGGCAAAAAATTTAACATATCTGGAAATAAACTTAACCAAAGAAGTAAAGAACCTATTTGCAGAAAACTATAGGACATTGAAAAAAGAAATAGAGGAAGGTATAAAAAAGTGGAAGCACATACCTTGTTCATGGATTGGAAGAATTAACATCATTAAAATGTCCATATTACCCAAAGCAATCTATAGATTCAATGCAATCCCCATCGAAATACCAACAAGATATTTCACAGAACTAGAACAAATACATCAAAAGTTCATATGGAACCAAAATGACCACAAATAGCCACAGCCAATTTTGAAAAAGAAGGACAAAGTAGGTGGGATCACAATACCAGATATCAGGTTATACTACAAAGCGACTGTAATCAAAACAGCCTGGTACTGGCACAAGAACAGGCATATAGACCAGTGGAACAGAACAGAGAACCCAGAAATGGACCCAAGGCAATATGCTCAATTAATATTTGACAAAGGTGGCAAGAGCATACAATGGAGTAAGGACAGCCTCTTTAATATATGGTGCTGGGAAAATTGGACAGCTACATGCAAAAAAATGAAACTAGACCATCAACTTACACCCTACACAAGAATAAACTCAAAATGGATAAAAGACTTAAATGTGACTCATGAATCCATAAAATTCCTAGAAGAAACTGTAGGCAACAAAATTTCAGACATTATACGCAGCAGAATTTTCACTGATATATCACCTAAGGCAACAGAAACAAAGGAAAAAATGAACACATGGGCCTACATCAAACTCAAAAGCTTCTGCACAGCTAAAGAAACAATCATCAAAATGGAAAGGCTACCCACTGTATGGGGGAGCATAATTGACAATGATATATCAGATAAAGGGTTAGTTTCCAATATATATAGAGTGCTCATACAACTCCACAAAAGGAAGACAAAGAACCCAATTAAAAAATGGGCAGAGTAACTAAATAGACACCTCTCCAAACAGGACATACAAATGGCTAAGAGACATATGAAGAAATGCTCAACATCACTAATCATCAGAGAGATGCAAATTAAAACAACAATGAGGTATCACCTCACACCTGTCAGAATGGCAGCCATCAAAAAATCATCAAGTGTTGGCGAGGGTGTGAAGAAAAGGGGACTCTAGTGCACTGTTGGTGGGAATGCAGACTGATGCAGCCACTACGGAAAATGATATGGTGTTACCTCAAAAAATTAAAAATTGAACTTCCATTTGACCCAGTAATTCCACTTCTAGGAATATACCCTAAGAAGCCTGAAACACCAATCAGAAAGAATATATGTACCCCCATGTTTGTAGCAGCACTATTTACAATAGCTAAGATCTGGAAACAGCCCAAGTGTCCTCAGTAGACGAATGGATAAAAAAGCAGTGGTACAATGGAGTACTATGTAGCTTTAAGAAAGAAAGATCTCTTATCTTTTGAGACCACATGGAGAGACCTGGAAAGTATTATCCTAAGTGAAACAAGCCAAACAGAGAAAGACAGTATCATTTGATCTCACTTATTTGTAGAATATAATGAACATAACAGTGTGAGGAATGGGGTAGTCCCAGAGACGTGGAAGTGGGGTACAGACTGACAATGCCCAAAAGAGGAGGTGGTGGGGGAGAGATAAACCACAGAACTTATATGCATGTATGCATGACCAATGGACATGGACAACAAAGCTGGGGTCGGGGCGCGGGGGATGGGGAGACGGGTGTCAATGAGGTAAAAAAGGAGAAACTGTTACAGATGTTTCTCTATAACAAAAATAAAATTAAAAAATAAAACTATGCAAAAAAAACAAAAAACAAAAAATAAACAAAAAAGAATATTATGAATTTTATTTTCCATTTTCTAGTAAACATGAGTGTTCATCTGTAACTATTAAAATAACAAATATAATCTGCATATCTTGCAAAATCAACTTGTTTACCCTTCATGGAGAATGGACCACGTCTGGGAATTAGTATTTTGAATACAGTTGTCCTCCCTTATTCACAGTTTTGTTTTTCTGGGGTTTCAGTTACACACAATCAATTGCAATCCAAAATTATTAAATGAAAAACACCCAAAATAAGCAATTCATAAGTTTTTTTGGTTTTTGGTTTTCTTTTTATTTTAGAGAGAGAAACATCAATGAGAGAAACATCAAGCATGCGTCTGGACTGGAAATGGAACACAACTTGAGTATGTGTCCTGACCAAGAATGGAACCTAAGACCCTCCAGTGCACTGGAGGACGCTCCAACCAACCGCGCCACATTGGCCAGGGCAACAATTCATGAGTTTTAAACTGTGTGCCGTTTTGAGTAACAAGATGAAATCTCACCCTGCTCCACTCTGTCCCGCTGGAGACATTAATCAGCTTTTACGGCTGAACCAAACCGGCCAGGGCATAATAATACACACACACACACACACACACACACACACACACATATATATAACATTTATATATTTATTTTACCCTCACCCGAAGACATTTTTGAATTTATCTTCAGAGTGGGAGGGAGTGGGGGGTGGGTAGAGAGAAAAACATCGATGTGAGAGAGACACATCTACTGGCTGCCACCCACACGACCCCAACCGGGACCAGGGACTATCTGTAACCGAGGTACGTGCCATTAGCGGGAACCAAACCTGGGACTCTCTGGTCCACAGGCCGATGCTCTAACCACTGTGCCAAACTGGCCAGGGCCATAAGAAGATATTTTGAGAGAGAGAGAGAGACCACACTTTTGTAATTTTCATTACAGTATAATATACTATTATAATTGTTCTATTTTGTTATTAGTTATTATTGTTAATATCCTACTGCACCTATCCATAAATTAAACTTTAGGTATATATGTATAGGGGAAAACATTGTATATTTAGAGTTTGTACTATCCACAGTTTTAGGCATTCATTGGGGGTCTTAAAAACATATCTCCCTTGGGTAAGGGGGGACTACTGTAAATGAGAGCTACGGACTCTTGGAGCCTAAGTAACATAATAGGAGCTGTTTTTCAGAGAAAATGCATCTGGTAGCTATGTGTGGAATGAACAGCTTTGGCTATTGTGGGAGGTAGGGATATAAGTTAAAAAGGAGACATCTGGGTCCTGGCTGGTTTATTTCAGCAGTTAGAACACCGGCCTGCAGACTGAAGGGTCTCGGGTTCAATTTCAGGTCAAGGGCATGCACTTGGGTTGCAGGTTCAATCCTCAGCCCTTGTCAGGATTGAGGGAGGCAACCAATTGTCGTCTCTCTCTCACATTGATGTTTCTCTCTCTCTCTCTCTTTTTCTCTCCCTCCCTCCCTTCCACTCTCTCTAAAAATTAATAGAAAAATATCCTCGGGTGAAGATTAAAAAAAAAAATAGACATCTTGTTTAGCAGAATAAATTTGAATAGAAAGAAACGTTCAAAAGAAATTTTATGATGAATTGGATATGGGAGCAGAGGGAGAAGAAATGTCAGAAACTGAAATGAAAACTATATCTAATATCTTTAAAATATTTAGCTTTTCAGAGGCCCAAGGACACAACTTCCAGAAAATTAAGTATTTGGTGATGTCTAGTACAAGTATTTAAGGAAGAGGGTTTCACTTGAAAAAATGAACAGATTCTATACAGATGAAGAAATTGTCTGACCCCCTGGACCCTGTTCCTTGGTTCTGCTCAGACCATCAGCCAGGGTTCAGAGAGGCCCAGAGACCAGCCCAGGGGTCACTTGCCATGGTTGAGCATGTATAATCTACCTATATTTTACTCTGTGTTCAGGTAAAATTCCTATACTTCAGACTATTAAGCAGTCTTTCCAAGAGAAACTGGCAACTGTAGTTTCTGCTGATATCCTCTAATAATGCAAAAATTCAGGGCCACTGATCAAGAACAAGTGAGCCCAGTCATTCGCGTGCAATAACTGTTCTTCCTTTTGCCATGTTGTGAGCTCTGTTAACACTGGGGCCTGCCTGGTAGCTCAGTTCTGTCACAGTTATGTACATAAGTGTTCACCAGGTTGATGTTTTGATGCCAGCCTTCTGCAGTGGTACGCTATTGGCCCTATCAATTGAAACACTGAACTACCAGGAGAATATATTTTACTAATAGAAAAGAGTTTTGGACCGGGGTGGACTCATCCTGTTGACTCCTTAATTCCTCCTTTAGAACTGGGTGGCACTCTGAACACTGTCAACAACAGCCCTGCACCTTTGAGTCCATCCAATTGTGTAATGCTGGCTTTCAGTTTTCTTGCACAATATCCTTTCTCAGTGCTGCGTAATGTAGCCTTTGCAGTTGTGTAACATCCGTGAGAAAACATAAATAGCTGGTGGCAGGCAGGGCTTTAACTTAAAAGCTTCACCTGTGATACAAAATATAAGAATCTGAGTTTATCAGAGTACTCAATAGTAGCTATGATTGCATCATATTTTCCAAAATATGGGGCCGTTTTGGCCCTCTTTGTCCTGAGTGTTGGCGCGCTGGACACTTTTACTGCTGCAGTGTATGAGCATGCTGTCATATTGCCAAACAGAACAGAAACACCTGTTTCGAAAGAAGAAGCTTTGCTCCTGATGAACAAGAATATAGATGTTTTGGAGAAAGCGGTTAAACTGGCAGCCAGGCAGGTATTGCCCTTTTCATATTGGCTGGGATATCGTAAAGGAAACTTGGAACTTGCAGAAATGTGAGTGTTTGGAACTGATGGGACACTTCTCTGTTCCCCCTTGTTTGGGTAGGGTGCTCATATCATTGTGACCCCAGAAGATGGAGTTTATGGCTGGGTCTTCACAAGGGAAACCATTTACCCCTATCTGGAGGATATCCCACACCCAGAAGTAAACTGGATTCCATGTAAAGACCCTCAGAGGTAATGTCATTACTGTTTGATTTTTGAACAAAATGTTGCAATATTGTAAAATATCAACAGCAAGTTCAGTAAGCTTGACTAGTATTCTTGCCCACAAATAATCAATCTACGACATTGGACTTAGACATTTCAAGTGTTTCAAAGGCGTGCCAGTTGGCACATGCTCCTGTTTGGTAAATGACTTGAGATGATGATGATGATGGATTTGTTATTTACTCTAGTTTTCTTTAATGAGTAGTATAGGATGTCTACATGGTTTTATAATGGATGTGCTCGATTGGGTTTCAACAAGGTGAGAAAGTTGTGGTATCTAGGACTTACGTTCCCAAATGTAAGTTGGTTCACCTATGAACATGTGCCTCCTTTGTAAGAGTAGTAACAAGATGAATGGGCTGTTGTCAAAGAGCTTTGATATTGTGATCATTTTCGATGTGATCAGTATTCTGGGAAAGTGCACAGTACTCGAAACAGGAAGTGCTTTTTCTGAGACCACATCCTATCACCTCCTAGCTGAGTGATGTGGGCAGATAACCTAAGTGCTAGACATCTCTGTTTTTTATCTGTAAAACAGGGATCATTAACGTTTCCTCTCCTACTTCCCTTACAGAGTAGACAAGAGTGTCAAGTGTAGAAATACACATAGAATCTGTACACTTCTGTGCCCTCTGCAATGTTAACTGCCTCTATTCTTTTCAACAGAAGGAGTTGGATCTAAATTCTTTGGGGGTTTTTTGTCCTTTGAGAAATTCTAGCAATTATTTTTAGCTGTAGTTTAGACATAACTTTCTTTTAAAAAATTGTTTAAAATGTAGAAAGCTTTATAAAATAGATTATTTTAGGTGTGTTTATTTTTTAAAATAGTTCATGTATAATTCCTTTAAATGGCAAAACCAACACATTAAAAAATAATTTGCTCATTTTAGCCCTGGACAGTGTGGCTAAATGGTTAGAGCTCTAGCCTGTGCTCTGAAGGGTCTCGGATTTGATTCCCATTCAAGGACACATATCTGGGTTGCAGGCTCGATTGTCCCAGGACACGTGCAGGAGGCAAGCAATTGATGTCTCTCTCACATGGATGTTCTGTCTCTCTCTCTCTCCCTCTCTCTCTCTCCCGCCCACTCTCTAAAAAGCAATGGACAAAATATCCTCATGTGAGGATTAACCAAACAAAATTAATTTGCTAATTTTAAATTTGCACACACCTGTTCAGAACTGTATCTATTGTACAAAAAGAGGAACTTAAATAATTTTGACTATTTGAAGCTGATTGGAATGCTCTAACGCTCAATGTGGAGCTACACTGTGTGAGTCGTCTCGCCCCGGGATTTTCACATTTGGAAACATATTCTCTGAATGTTGCTCCATCTGTGTTTATAAGAACCAACAGCAATAACTCAATGTTTACTTGATTTTGGGGTTTTTCCCAGAGCAGGAAGGACTCATTATTTACAGTCATTCATGAGGCTTATAGTAAAATACACCCTATTTGCCTGAGCTGTTGAAACTGACTTTCCCAGGGAAAAGATGTCTGGAAGCCTAGTTAGCATCCAACAAATTATTCTTCAATTGAAACTGTATGGGGCTGATGAGACTTTAACATTATTGAGTCTTGCAGACTCTTATTGATCAGACAAGTTTTCAGCTTTGACTTATAAAAAGGAGAAATCCAGTATTTAATATAATAGTGATGTTGGTTAAAAAAAAAAAAGCAATTGTTTCTTCCCGAGTAATATTTATCCTTAAAAGGGATAATAGAAGGACCCTGTGGTCATTTTTTTCATGTTTAAATCTATCAATTAGAATACTGACATGTCCCATGCTTCCTTGGGCTTTCTTCATGAGGAGCTAATAGAATATATTAAAGGACCCTACCTATTTAGCCAAGAAAATGAAAATTAAACATTATATAATAATTTTATTAAATGTCTTAATATGAATGCTGACAATATGATTGTTTTTTTGAATAAAAAAAATGGTTTAAAAAAATAGGCATGAATCTGTTATTTCTAATCAAAGATTAGCTCACCATTCATGACAGAGGGGCTGGGAGATCATGCAGAGAGCCTGAATGCCTCTAAAGCAATCAAGTCTCGGTTCCTGGGCTGTCTTCTTGTAGTTACGAAATCCATAATGGGCATTCCGTATTTACTGAGCACCTACTTGGTCCCAGGAACTGTACCTGGTACACTATGCGCATTATCTCGTTCAATTTATGTAGCAGGAGCAACTCTTCCCATTTTGAAGATGAGGATAACAGGAGGCTTAGGGTCTCCCAGTTGGTAACTGGCGTGGCTGGAATTCAGCACAGCCATTTCCACTGAGCCATGCTCACTGAAAGTCCGCTGAGGGCCTCAGTGCACCATTATTATACTTGAAATTTCCAGTGACTAGTGAATCCACTTCTTTGACGGCGTGTTCTGGTTGCTAAATACTTTTATCTGATTTACTGCTGAAATCAATCTGTCGCTTTCTCTGGTCTTTGGAACGCCTCTATAGTAGGTTAGTATCCATGGCTCATCTTCAAATAAGAGTCTTTGAAGTGCTTGAATTCAACTATCATTTCACTGATTTTATTACTGCAATCCCTTCTTATTTCTAGGATAAATATCTTAGACATTTAATGCCAGTGTGAATGGATTTGGCATTGTTTATTATTTATAGTTTGTGTTTATCTCAGAGTTTTTCACAAGGGCCCTCCAAGGTAGAAAGGAAGCTATTATGTTGCATTGACAGATGAAGAAATTGAGCCAGAATAGTGAAGTGCTTTTTCTTTTTTTTTATCCTCACCCGAGGACATTTTTCCATTTTTTGTACAGACAGAGTGGGAGGGAGAGAGAGGAAGAGAGAGAGAGGGAAACATCGATGTGAAAGGGACACATCGAGTGGCTGCCACCCGCACGACCAACCAGGGCCGGGGACAAACTGCAACCGAGGTACATGCCCTTAGCGGGAACCGAACCCGGGTCTCTCCGGACCACAGGCGGACGCTCTAACCTCTGAGCCAAACCGGCCAGGGCTGAAGTGCTTTTTCTTTTAAAAAATATTTCCAGTACACAATGCTGCACTTGTTCTCCTTAGAAGATGATTTATATAGGGCCAATCATTCCCTGCCTCCTAGTAAGACTGTAGCTTAGGTTATAGGAAAAGTCCTCTTCAGTGGAAGAGTCTTACATTTCAAGGCCTTCGTTTGCCCCCGGGGAGGAAGTACTTCAGAAGAGAAAGTGAGCTTCTCTTCTTTCTCTTCGTCCTCCTCCGTCCTTTCTGCGCTTTGTCTCTCACTGCATCTGGAGTCTGGCACAATAGCATACGTTAGCTTTCATGAAGACGAAAATTATATTGCTTGTGAGTTTTTATACCTTTCGTGTTGATTCTTAACCGAGAGCTGTTGTCTTATAGGTAACAGGCAAATAAAGTATCACTGAAAGTTCAGAATCAGTCAAATATAGTAAGTTTAAACAGTATCCATTGAATTAGGTTTGGCTATGCCCCAGTGCAAGAAAGACTCAGCTGCCTGGCCAAGGACAACTCTATCTACGTTGTGGCAAATATTGGGGACAAGAAGCCATGCAATGCCAGTGACCCCCAGTGTCCCCCTGACGGTCGTTACCAATACAACACTGATGTGGTGTTCGACTCTGAGGGGAGGCTGGTGGCACGCTACCATAAGGTGAGAATTTTTTGTGTCTTAGTGATACTTGATTCACTTCCTCTGTTTATTTGTGGTATGTGTGTGTATTTGTCTGTTGATTGTGAGAGAACTGCAATGAATACATTTCTTTCTTTTTTTAAAAATATTTTTTATTTTATTGACTTTAGAGAGAAAGGAGAGGGAAAGATAGAAACATCGATGAGAGAGAACATCGATTGGCCACCTCCTGCATGCCCCCCACTGGGGACCCGGCCCACAACCTGGGCATGTGCCCTGACCGGGAATTGAACCGGTGACCTCTTGGTGCATGGGTCGACACTCAAGCACTAAGCCACACTGGCCTGGCATGAATGCATTTCTTAATTATTATAGTCAAGTTGAAAAAGGATTTAATTTACTTTGGTTTCATATAAGGGTTCTGAGTTTAAATAAGTCACAAACAGAATACAGCAGAATATTAAAATGGTAATAATAGTTTCACAAAGTTTTTAATATTCTGTGAAAAAGGAGAAATGCTCTGTTTCATCCATGATTTAATACTAGAGTTAGCTTTTTTGCTCAATTTGTTAACATTTTGCACTAAGCTTTAGTCATTCATTCCATTATAACTTTTTGTATTACAATAATAGAAAATCCCAACTGAAATCGGCTAAACCTCTCCTTAAAAAATGCATGGAATTTCCTTGCCTACGTACTTAGAAAAATAGAAACCATAGAAAAGGTAGGTCTAGTTTCTGGTGCGGTCTGTTCCCCAGGGGCTCTGATGTCATCCATCTCTCCAGCTCTCTTAGTCCTTTGTTACAGTCTGCCCCCTCCCCCACGCCCCCAGACTAACTATTGTTTTAGAAGCTACTGGGCTGCTCAACATGAAACACATCCGTAGAGCAACAAAATCCAGAGGAAGAATGTATGTCTCTCACTAAGAAACCCTGCAAACACCTCATCATGCCTTTTCTCCAATTAGGCCACATGCCTTCCTTGACCTGATCCCTGTGAGGTGAAGGATGGGCTACCACATGAGAGAGGGCGGCAGAACACAGGATCCTCACCGAGAACAAACACACACACACACACACACACACACACACACACACACACAGAGTCAGCGGAATAATACCTGAGCACAACAGGCTACACCCTGGAGCCCGGGCAAAGTGAAATTTTGGAGCAATAATCAGGCTGAAAAGAAAATTATTAATGGCTTACTAACTAATGAGGTTTAGCTATTACATTGTCTAAATTAAATATAAATTGATTAATATAAGTGAAGTAAATAAATCTTATTTACTTAGCAGTATCATAGGGAGGCATGACAAAGTTAATTTTATTAACGTGTGTCTGACATGGGCAGTGCTGTTGGTATTTAAGGAGTTCAGTGGGAAACAGTCTGAAATTTGTCAGATTCAAAATTCAACCTATGATTTTAAGAGATTCACCTTTTAAACATAATTTATAGATATAATCTCATTGGTTGATTTGTTGGTTGCAGAAAAATGTTGTGTTTTTTATTAATGTCACAGTGAGAAAACTGATAGTGGTACACTTGGTATGATGTGTGACAGTTTTAAATATGTACATCAGCTTATATGGGAGAAAGATTTTATGTGTATTGATCACTTCTACTTGGTTGGCAGTTTTCTTACTAATTTTCTCCTTCTTTGCTCATTGTTTACAGTACAATCTTTTTGCACCTGAAATTCAATTTGATTTCCCCAAGGACTCTGAATTGGTGACTTTTGACACTCCTTTTGGGAAGTTTGGCATTTTCACTTGCTTTGACATCTTTTCTCATGACCCGGCTGTGGTGGTGGTGACAGAGTTTCAAGTTGACAGTGTGCTCTACCCCACGGCGTGGTACAACACGCTGCCCCTCCTCTCTGCGGTTCCCTTCCACTCGGCATGGGCCAGAGCCATGGGGGTCAACCTGCTGGCCGCCAACACCCACAGCACTCGCATGCACATGACAGGTAACTCACGCGTCACGCGCCCAGTGCCAGTGACCGTCTTAGGGAGTCCTCGGTGATCTTCAAGCCACGCTTTTCTTCAATGAGTGCTTTATTAACTGTAATGTCACAAATAATTGCAAGGGTTTCTATACCTACATTCCTTAAGTGGAACATTTTCTCTGCAAGTAAAGAAGAATGCAAACATGATTATCTCAATTTCACATGAGGGGAAATTGGAGTTAGAGAGAAGTCAAGTCACATGAAAAAACCCAAGCCGGATCTAAAGAACTTTGCAGCCAGCGTTCGTTAGTGATATTGAAATAAATCTTGCTGAGGTGAAAAAATCGCTGTAGACTCGATCAGGTTTCTAGAGTTTATCTTTTATATAAGGTGGGACAAAAGCAGGTTTACGGTTGTGCGTATGAGAAACACAGAGTTTGTCCTTGTATTGTTATTTATTAATTATTGTATTATTTTCTTTTTTTTTTTAATCATCCTCACCCGAGGACATTTTTCCATTCTTTGTTCAGATAGAGCGGGAGGGAGAGAGAGGAACAGAGAGAGAGAGAAACATCGATGTGAAAGGGACACATCGAGTGGTCGCCACCCGCACAACCAACCAGGGCCGGGGACAAACTGCAACCGAGGTACGTGCCCTTAGCGGGAACCGAACCCGGGTCTCTCCGGACCGCAGGCCGATGCTCTAACCGCTGAGCCAAACCGGCCAGGGCAATTATTGTATTATTTTCCATGCAAACAACTCTAAACCTGTGTTTCTCATATGCACAACTGTAAGCCTACTTTGGCCCACCCTGTAGTACCTGTGCTCAGGATACTGCAGGCTTCCGTCTGGGTGGCTGTGTTGCTTATTGATCCAGATAGAGAATCTCAAACAAATACATTAGATAGGTCAGTGGAGAGCTAAACTTATTCTTCATGTTTGGGGAATTTTCTAGCTTATTTTTAAATTGGCTATAAAAAGGATAGCTTAAGTAAAAAAAAAAAAAAAAAAGCCATCCAAATCAAATGAGATTGTCAGTGTAAGCAGAGTTACAAAATCAAATTGGGATTTATGCCAATGTAACAGCTGTCTCTTTTTGCTTCCATACCCTTATATTTAATTCCTTATGGAAAGGATTCCATTTGTTTGTCACATGCAACATCTGAACCCAGTGTTTGTGTTTCTTTCTATCACCCACAGGGAGTGGAATCTACGCACCCGAAGCCGTCAAGGTGTATCACTATGACATGGAAACCGAGAGCGGCCAGCTGATGCTCTCGGAACTGAGGTCCCGGCCTCGAAGGGAACACGCCTACCCTGCACCTGTTGACTGGAGTGCTCATGCCAAAGGTGTCAAGCCATTCTCTTCTGAGCAGTCGGATTTTCCAGGGATGATTTACTTTGATGAGTTCACCTTCACGGAGCTTAAGAGAAAAGCAGGAAATTACACAGTTTGCCAGAAAGACCTGTGTTGTCACTTAACTTACAGGATGTCTGAGAAGCGAACAGATGAGGTGTACGCACTAGGAGCTTTTGATGGACTGCACACCGTCGAAGGCCAGTATTACTTACAGGTAGAAACGCCTAAACATCTTAGAATAGTTTCTTTATTCGCTTTACTTCCAGGCCCTCATTGCATTGCTTTAAAACTTGTGTTGGATTCAGTTACTTGGAATAACGTCACATTTCTCACTGAATTCCACCCATCCCCCCAACACTTTATTTGTTCAGTCTAAGCAAGAATAGAATGAGTTCTCTTGGTTGCAAGTTGAAACAGAGAGCACATTGATCAGTTTTCAACAGGCCAGATTCAAGTTTTAAAAGGTGCAAATTCCATGCATTCTCTTTTTTTGTCGGGTTGCTTTAGAGCAGTGTTTTTAAAACTGACTTCAACTAGAGCCCAGCATGAGAAGTCCATTTCACATCATGACCCAGTGTAGTCAAAATGTGTGACAACGTGGAAATGGTTACTAAATATGAGATATTTAATTGAAACAAACATATATGAAATAATTCAAATTAGAAACGTTATAATTATATGTAATGCACTTTGATTTTTAAAATTCTTGTCTATTCCATTTTGCTTCATTGAAAAAAAAAGCTAATTCTGGCCCACTACGTTGATTTTAGGATTCACTAATAGATTATGCCCTGTAATTTGAAAACTTCTGTTTTAGAGGCAACCTAACATATATTCCTCTATACCTCAAAATTGTGACTTTTGCTGAGAAAATATTTCCCAGATTTCTAACCACTTCTCTTTGCCTTGCCTACATAGATATGTACATTACTGAAATGTCAAACCACTGACCTGGGGACTTGTGGGGAGCCTGTGGGGTCAGCTTTCACCAAGTTTGAAGAATTCGCTCTCAGCGGCACCTTTGGAACAAGCTATGTTTTCCCACAGCTCATTCTAAGTGGGAGTCAGCTTGCCCCTGAAAGACATTATGAGGTAGGAGACTTTCGGTACGATAAATTTTTTGAACAGACGGGATCGACGAGCATAAAGAATATCTTTAAAATAAGGGGTCAGTATTGCAACATTGTGGCTCACATAGAAGCAATACTTGAAAGACTTGTGGAAGCTGTGATATCGAAGACAAATGTGGTTCTAGATTGTAAGCTGTGATGGAAAATTTGGCATTCGTTTTCCTACAGAAATAGGATTTTGAGATCCAAGGCAACCATAAAGTTATGAAAAAATTAAACTAAAAATATTGATTGTGGATGGTGGCTGGCAACTAATGTTATCCTTATTTGGATATAGAAGGTATATGGTACCTTATATGGTATAGAAGGTCCAAGTTAAATACATTAAACAAAGCATCCACAACCCTTCCTTCCTTCCTTCCTTCCTTCCTTCCTTCCTTCCTTCCTTCCTTCCTTCCTTCCTTCCTTCCTTCCTTCCTTCCTCTTTTTCTTCTCTCTCTCTCTCTCTTTCCTTCTATTTATGTATTTATTTTTTCTATGTGGGATGGTTGATCTTGAGCCTGCAGGGAGCAAGCTGGCCTCAGACTTCTCCAAGTCCACATACTTTACCTCCGATTCCACAATTTACTCCATGGGCGTGTTATTTTGAGAAGTTGTAATAATGATAATAAAAATTAACACGCTCTACAGTGTTTCATGAGTTAAAAGAACTCTTTTGTATACAGTATCTTATTGAACCCTGTGCGGTAGATTTATCTGCTGCACTTTCACCCCAGGTCTCCTGACACCAAACCCCGCGTGTTTTCACTGCATTACGCTGCTGTTAGAGCCATGTTGTCAGAGAAGCTTGTGGGCTAGAGTTAATCCTTTGCTTTCTTTGATCAGGTTTCAAGAGATGGACGTCTGAGGAGCAGAAGTGGAGCCCCTCTGCCTGTCTTAGTTATGGCCCTGTATGGAAGAGTGTTCGAGAAGGACCCTCCACGCTTAGGGCAGGGGCCAGGGAAATGTCAGTGACCCCTTCACCGTCCCTCTTCGAGGGTTAGCCTGGCAAGGAGAGGGAGGGGGAACACGAGAGCCCTTGGTGTCTGTTTATAAGCGATGTCATACATTTGCTGAAACAACAGATACAGTTTTAAAAAACAATAAATGTGCACACAAAGCTCTTTCTTTGCGAAGTGAAGCCATTCGCTCTTACAGCTTCAACCAGCTTTTCCGCGGCAATAGAGTATATTTTATTGGTGAGCAAAATACTTTAAAAAAATTTTTTTTTATGAGAGTCAGTTTAGGCTGCATTGTAATGATTAGAGGCTATATTAAAAACAAAACAGAACAAAATAAAAATAGTTTTATTGAGTCCTAGAGCAAAAATATGTATTCTTACGTTGGGGATGGGGCAATTTTCCCCTCTTTCTCTCTTAGTTTTTCTGGCTGGTGCTACCGGACTAAAGGGGTCCATTTGTCTGCATGCATCAAAGCCCAGTCAAACAGGAGCAGGAGTTTGCAGCCAAGAAAGTAAAGGCTTATTAGTTAAGGAAATGGCACCAAGCCTTGCCTCGCAGGTAAAACAGCGTTCAAAGACCTGGCTCCCCAATCACTAGACACGGTGGCTAAGGGAGCTGGGGTGTGGTCTCTCCTGACTGGTGGGGCCAGGGTAGGGAGTGATTGATCACTGTGTCAGGTCCTGAGGTCAGCCAGGCCATTGTTCTGTCTGGTTTTGTGAGTGTGTAATCAGTAAGGTTAGTTAGCTTTCATGGATCTGCGGCTGAAACACAACTGAAGTCAAGATGTTATCTTTAGCTTGGTCAAAACTCTGTTTCTATGGTCAACAGACCTGAGGCTTTGTTCTTGAGATAGTTTGATGCTGACCAGCATCTAATGTTCTCAGGGCTTAATGATTAAATAAAGCAATGGGTGGGACCGACAGAAAGGAGCAAGGGTCGTGTTAAAGAAATTAGGTTTCTGCACCTTACACAGGTCAAATAATTTAAATGACATACAGCAGATTACAGGAGAAAATCAAGTTTTAATAATGCACATGGGAAATTCACAGAGGCTTGAAAATTCCAAAGACATAAAGCAGAATGCGGTATGTATGTCAGCAGAGCTAAGGAAGGGGAAATAAGGCAATCCACAGGGAGGTAAAGTTATTGTTTATATGTTGAGCCACCTTGAACCAGTGGGTTGCAAAGAGGACTTTGAGCAAATGGCCTTGCCAGGCTCCCCCCTGTCAGTTACACTTGGTTTTTATGAACACACAGTCATCTACACCATAGCTCCCTTCCTGGGGCAAGTCTTTTGTCTAAGTTCTTTTAGGAAATAAGGGTGAAGGTCAACGGTTCTTCACAGACCTTCTGAGCTTTGACCGTTTTCAGTTTGAAATAGCCTATGTGCCAGAGTGGCACATCTCGGGGTGATTCATTCTGAACCTCTGTACTGACAATGTAGACAACTTTATCACATAGATTAATGTCAATAAAAAAATTGACTCGGTGTTCTAGCCATTAAGTATTAATATTGTGGTCCCAGAGAATAAACATTTGCTTGATGTGAACCCCAGAAAGGAAGTTACTTGCTGGGATGGACTCCCATGGTCAGCTGAGGGCCCGACTTTTATAAACAATAAGAGCCGAGCAGTAATTTGCTGACTGGGGCTCCTCACATACTCTGTGCACCCAGAAACCTCGGCTTCCCACACTGTGCCAGGTTGGTTCACACGTCTGAGTCAATCACTGCAGGGAAACCCTGGCTTCATCCTTCAGTCAGTGGACAGGGCCCGCCCTGCCCGCTAAAACTGCATAATTTGGAAATCTCATTTACATAAAACACAACTAAATGAGGATGTGGGCTGCAACCTATAAAGGGAGGCCTCCCCTTTGTCTCGAGGAAACACAATTTAGGCTTCTACTTGGATCTGTGTCTCCCATGCTGCAGCTCCTTTTGCTCAAATAAATGCTTCTTAGTCTTTATTACAGTCTAAAATTAATTTTGATTTATAATATCTAGGCATATATATTTAGTGACAACAGAGACAGAATTCTAACTTTTAACCTACATATAATTATGACTCTGATCCCACTTTTGATCACCAACTACAATTCTGACACCCAGTTCTGATATATGGGGGTTTTTCCTACACCAGCAAGCAATTCTCCAACACCAGCTGGGTGACCCACAACTCAGCTCAATTCTGACACCAGGCGCCTAGAGGTAGCAAGCCTGCCCCCCACTTCAGGTGCCAGTTGCTAGTCCAGGTTGTCACCTGTGCTTCTGACTAACTGGCTGTAGATCAGAGGTTCCAATGGTGCCGTCCTTAGGTTTGAGCAGCTCACAGAACTCAAAAACATTTTACTCACTCGATCACCTCTTTATTATGAAAAGATAAGGAGGGTGGGGGGTAATGGGCAAAAAAAAGGTGAAAGGATTAAGAAGTACAAATTGGTTGTTAGCCTGAGGAACCTCAAAGGGAAGGGGGAAAGGGGGGGGGGAGAGATACACCAAAGAAATTCTATGCCTATATGCATAACCAATGGGCACCGACAATAGTGTGGGGAAGGCAGGAGGAGGATGGGAGTGGGGAGGAGGGGATCAGTGGGGGAAAAAAAGGGGACGTCTGTAATACATTCAACAATAAAGAATAGTTAAAAAAAAAAAAAAGGGTATAGCTCAGGAACAGCCAAATGAAGATGGGTAGAGCAAGGTATGGGGAAGGGGCACAGGCTGCATGCCCCTCTCTGAGGGCACCACCCTCCCAGCATCTCCACCTGTTCACGGCTAGAAGCTCTCTGAGTGCTGTCATTACACGGGCAGTATTGATTACAGTATTTGGCCATTGGTAGTTAAATTCAGTCTTCAGCCCCTCTCCCCACCCCTGAGGTGAGGGCGGGACTGGAAGTCCCAACCCTCTCGGCACCAGGCTGGCTCCACAGCAACAAGCTCTGTGTAAGTTGCTTTCCACAGCGACCTCATTCACATAAAAGAAGACTCCCTGATTGCTCTGCTCACTTGGGAAATCTCAAGGGTTTTCAGGGGAACTTTGCATGAGACAAATACCAAGTTCTTATTTCTTATTATAAATCACAATATCACACACACACACACACACACACACACACACAAATACGGGTGTGCACACATATACACACATGCTGCAGGTGGCTCTTCAGAGTTCACCAGATGTCCTCATCTCATCCTCAGAATCACCATGAGATCAGTGTTGGCACTGACTTCCTTGCATCAGCTAGATCAGCTGGATCAACTGAGGAGATAACTGATCAGAGAAATAAACGATCCAAGGTCGCACAGCAAGCTAGCGGCAGTGTTGCCGCAAGAATCTGTCTATTGCCAGCTGGTGTGGCTCAGTGGTTAAGAATCGACCCCTACACCAAGAGGACGCTGGTTCAATTCCCAGTCAGGGCACGTGCCCAGGTTGTGGGCCCCATCCCCAGTGGGGGGCGTGCAGGAGTTGGCCAATTGATGTTCTCTCTCATCCATGTTTCTATCTCTCCCTCTCCCTTCCTCTCTCTCTAAAAAAATCAATAAAGAAAAAAAACTTAAAAAAAAAAATCAGTCTATTTCCTGACAAGTGGCTTCTATTAGGTCTTCTGTGTACACTGTGCTGGGAGCTGGGGATATGAAGTGTAAGGGGCAGTGCCCACCCCATTCAGTCCTAGGTCTCCCCTCTTTTTTCCCTGTTTCTGATTCTCTCCACTTGTTCCGGGCAAGACGTACCGCTGATTTCCTCTTGGGGCCTGCTGTCTGCACAGTGCAGACCACTGTGGTCTTGTTCCTACTCTGGCAGCAGAGTGCCCCGTTTTCCCTCTCAAAGGCAACTCTTTCCCCTGTGCAGCTTGATTGAAGGGATCTTCATGGAGGCTCCTCTCCACACACAAGTTTTGTTGGAGACCACTGCCTCCGTCTCTACTCTGTATGAGCAGCAGGCTGCGTTTGGGGAGCTTGCACTCTGTAGATTGCTTATCAGGGGTGACGCGGTGGCACCAGGTATCAGGACAACCCGCTCAGGTGTTGCCGCAGGTACTGCTGGTGCCCATGTTTCAGCTTCAGCTAATGGCATTCACTGCAAAACTGCAGCTTCCCCCTGAAGACTGTCCCTTGGCTGGTGTGGGCCAGGTGAGCCACAGAGGCCAGATTGGAGTGCTGCTGATACTGTGTGGGGGAGGGGGTGACGGGGCCAGTGATAAGGTCTGTCTGGTAGTGAGCCAGTGCCTTATCACCTTCACAAGTCCTTCTCAACCTTCTTCTTTCCCCTTAGTTGAGAGGGAAAGCCAGGAGGGTAGAGTTGAGGTTCTTCTTTCCCTGGATTGCCTGGGCACTCCTAAGTATTTCCCTCCAGGGCAGGCTTTCGATAAGGAGAACAAAATGCTTGGGGCATATTTTGAAGGGGGTTTATTTCCCTCGTTCTTTAGAAAGTCCAGAGGTTTTTGTTTGTTTTTCTCAGTTGTTTTTGTAAGGAATCGGGGGCGCCGCCGAATAAAACAGAGAAGAGACTGGAGAGCCAATCAGCCGAATAAACAGGGATCAGGCTTTATTGGGTGCACTCCGGGCGGGTTCACCGACTCGGGGGACAGGAGTCGGAGAAGCCGCGCTCATTGTAGGGGCTCGTGTCTTTTATATCTGCCTGTTGTAGCTGGAATTTGTCCCTTAGGGTTTGGCCCTGCGGGGGCTATGCACGGAGCCTCTGGAATGTGAATCGATAAGAGCAAGATGGGAGTTAATCTACAAGCTCGAGGCAGGCCGTTCAGGGTGGGAGGCAAGGCTGAGCAAGGAGACAATGGTCCAGCACTTTGCCTGGCCCCAGTCCCCAGGCTATGGGACCGGTTTGAGTTGGGGTTTTTGGAGGTAAAACTCACAGAAGTGTGAGAGCTTTCCTAACACTGGAATTCTCTAGGTTTTTAACTCTTAAGTTTATCCACACTGAGCCTCTAGCAATTAATTCATCGATGACAGTTGAAGTGGCATACCAGTGTGGATGAAATGGGGTGCTACAGAAAGTAACCACACAGTGTGATCTGATCATAACTCCTAACTGGGCAGATCAAAGTGAGCAGTCATGCCCTAAACACTATGACTCCTTTAGTAAAAGGTTAATCTTTACCATTAGCATGACCTGTCTATTGTTTCTGTGAATCTAGGTTAGCACGTGGTAGAAATGCCTCCTTTCATGCTTGGCTAGTACATGCCCAGAGAGGCCATGAGGGAAACCACCCTCAAAGAGCAGGTGATCTTGTTAAGTATCCTGTGATCCAATCTGTGCCTTGGTTCTCCGCCTCCACGTCATTTCCTTCTAGTCCCTCCTTAATTCCAAATGCATTAAAAAAACCCCAAGAAACTCTCATTCACCAGAACATTGGAGATCTTGCTTCCTGGTTATTGTCATCAATTTTGGCTCAAGTAAACTCATAAAACTTCTCTACAGGTTTGGACATTTTTACGTCGACATCAGGACTGGCCCCAAGAGTGGACTTCTGCTGCAGGTAAATCTGTCTCTCTAATTTGGGGCAGTGGTTTGTCCTGTGACCTCAACTCTCTACTGTAAGAACAATGATTGATTTTCAGTTGTTCAGCTATTTTCTTGGTGTGAAGATGGGAGAGAAGACTTTCAAGCTCTTTATATGTCAGACTGGAAACCAATACGAGCTTCTTATTTGATATTTTTAACTTCGTAATGCCAAATAAGCAATTTTTTAAACCTCTTGGTAACTCATTCCAGTTTTAACTTTTATTTCAGACGTTCCTTTTATAGACTGGTATGTAACAATGACATCTCACCGTGAAGTATGTGGATCCCACACACGTGGGAGTGGGAAACCAAAAGGAGGTCAGCAAGCAGCTAGGGTGTGCTGCAGCCTCGGGACAGCTGGGCGGTCGTAACCTCTGGGTTACTTTGGTAGCCACAGAATAAATTTATTATAGTACATTTGCAAATTGAACTATAATAACGCCATCCAAAATTAAATCTAAAAAGGCAATAGATAACCACAAACAGTAACAAAATTTGCCTACTTATTCCATATCAAAATCTATAAGCTTTTTAACCTACTTTCTGATATTGTCTCTTCAATCTACCTGTATTCCCCTCTTTAGTTCTTACTCTGTTGTAGACCAATGAGACAGACCAGACTCAGATTCCAAACTGGGTTCAAATTAAGAGAGCTTTATTAGCCGCGCGGCGACTGTCCCATCCTACGCAGAGGAGAGAGCAGCCCCGAGCTTAGGGGGTGGGTTGCTTATATAGTTGTCTTAGCCCCTGTTAAGGAATTTGGATTAAGGGTATGTGAGCAAGCAAGCAGGTACAGAAGCAGGTATTTGCAGTTAGCTATTATGCCTGAGGGAGCAATCAGTTTCTGTGTACACAAAGCAGTGGTTATCTATACAGTGCAGTGGTTACCTATTAGCAGATAGTTCTTGCCATTCCCTTAAAATCCAGGGGGCAAGGTCATGTGTTTGTCCTTTACAACTCTTGTTCTCTTTGTCATTGTTTCTATTTTCCAATTTGTTCTGCAGCCTCCAATGTGGTCTCCAGTGATCCCTGCCTCATCCTCATCTTGTGTGATCTCCTTCCGTCAAGTATGGACAGGACCTACTGATTTGTTTGTTTTTTTAATCCTCATCCAAGGATTTTTTTTCCATTTATCTTCAGATAGAGTGGAAGGGAGTGAGGGCGGAGGAGAAGGGGGGAGAGAGAGACAAACATCTATGTGAGATAAACACATCAACTGGTTGCCTCCCACACGACCCCAACCAGGGCCAGGCACAAACCACAACTGAGGTACATGCCCTTGGCCAGAATCAAACCCGTCACTCTGGTCCGCAGGCCGACGCTCTAACCACTGAGCACCCTGCCAGGGCCTGACTTGTTTTTAATGAATAGAATTCAACTGAAGTGATGCGGTGACACTTCCCACATTCATTGACTGAGAGACTGCAGCTTCTGTCTGGGGAGGGTTCTCTGAGGGAAGCCAGATACAATAGTAACACAGCTTCTGTCTTGGGAGGGTTCTCTGAGGGAGCCAGATACAAAAGTAAGACCTGAGGCAAGGACCTGGTCTCTGGGCAACAGTCAGTGGGGACCTTGCCACCAGCCCTGCGAGTGAGCCCAGAGCTTGGAAACAAATTCTCTCCCCACCAAGCTGCAGCCGGGCCGGGAGCCTGATTGCAGTCTTGTGCAAGAGCCGCCCAGCCAAACTGCCCCAGATTCCAGACCCACAGGAGATGTGAAATAACACAAGCTTGCTGGTCAAAGTCACTAACTGTTAACCCTTTTGTGTTCCTCTTTGTCCCAGCTTCCCCATTTTGAGGAAACTAAGGTAAGTGTAGCATTTAAATATTCATATGACAGCAATAATAATTTCCAAATTGTAAAGCTATTTATTCTACGAATCATTTACATACACTGCTATGCTCTGAAGTTGTAAAACATATGAATTATAAAAATTCATGTTTATGTACTAGCCTTCTGTATATTAGAATGTTACCTTATTGGGAAATAGGATAGTTTCAGATGAAATTAGTTAAGATGAAGTCATTCTGTAGCATGCTGGGCACTAAGTCTGATGATTGAAGTTTTTGTAAAGAGAAAATTTGGATTCTAGGCATTTACAGCCATCCTCAGAGTGAGAAGCCAGAATAATCCTCCTCACAGCCCTCAGGAGCACAGTCAGAAGTGTCATGAAATTTGTTTACATGGTATCTGCGATGGAAAACCGTTATGTTTTCTTAACGTTAGATGTTGTGATTTGATTTTGAAGTACCCCATTCTGACAACCACGTGATTTATTGTAGCTTCTCTATAAATATCAGGACTTGCCCTGTTCTGCAGCAGCCTCTGGACTTCAGCATGACTGCTGCTCAGCTGCTGGCCTATGTGGCAATCTCAGTTTCCTGGGTGGAAGCCGGCTCCCTGGACACCTTTGTTGCAGCTGTTTATGAGCATGTAGTGATACTGCCTAATGACACCCTCCTACCCGTGTCCCGTGAAGAGGCGTTGGTGTTAATGAACAGAAATCTGGATCTCTTGGAGAGAGCCATCGCATCAGCAGCAAAACAGGTACCACCTCTCGAGTGTGCTGGCTTCTGTGGGGAGAAAGCGTGGGGTCCCAAGAGGCAGGGTCACTGTCGGGGTCCATCACATATGTGCCAGAGTATGTAGTTAAACATGCGTGAAGGGAGAGGATGACATATATGTCCGGGTAGCCAAGAACTTTCGTTTTACAATCTGAGTCCTACCTCCTTCCCCAAACTATTAGAGAAAGGACACCACGTCCTTTCGAGTTGTCCCCCGATACCTCAAGTTCCCACCTGACCCCATACGGTTATTATGATATCATTGACTATGTTCTTTGTGCTGTAATTTGCATCTTTGAGACTATTCTGTAGCTACCAATTTGTAAAAAGTGTATATGTTAATGAATAGTCAGTCCTTGAGTTAAATGAAAGGTTAAGTTAAAGTGTGTGGTTTGAACAAATATGGTTTAAATAAGATAATTTGTAAATCAGGTATAGGCAAGGGATATGTGAAGAGTCACGGAAGTTAAGGATACGTACATCTAACACATTTGCAATATACATTCTTGTACATACAAAAATCAGCTTTCAGGATGGCTTCCCCCCCAAAGATGCCCACGTTAGCTCAGGTTGTACCTCTAGGCCCCCTCCTTCTGAGGAGCTGGAATCATGTTTGCAGGGGATAGAGCAGGGAAGGCTGGAGCAGAAGGAAAGTGAAACAGAGAATCTGAGTTGTAAATCAATCCCACACTCAGGCACAGCCCCAGTCTAAGTTCAGGGAGGGGTGATTTGGTGAAGAGCTGGGTTTATAGTTAACAACTGCAATCATGTCAAACTTGTGAGTAGCCTGGAAAGCTATTCATTTTTAGGAAGAAAATATAAATAAAGGATGACATCAGGATTGGAAAATGCAAGTGGTTGAGCAAAGAAAGTACATTCTAGCCCTGGCCGGTTTGGCTCAGCGGTTAGAGCATTGACCTGCGGTCCAGAGAGACCCGGGTTCAGTTCCCACTAAGGACGCGTACCTCGGTTGCAGTTTGTCCCTGGCCCTGGTTGGGTTGTGTGGGTGGCAACCACTCGATGTGTCCCTTTCATGTCGATGTGTGTGTGTCTCTCTCTCTTCCTCTCTCTCTCCCTCCTACTCTATCTAAACAAAAAAAGAAAAGAAAGTAAATTATAAAAGTATAGAAATCAGAGGAATAGATTGAAAGAAAAAAAACACCTGAATGGTTGTTCGTCAGCCACTCAGTTCCTCAGGTCCTCCTGCAGGCCCTTTTTTGGTTGTTTGCTTATCTGAGAAATATTTTAATTAAGCTACATTTTTAACAGGGTGCACATATTATTGTGACTCCAGAAGATGGTCTTTATGGCTGGAACTTCAACAGGGAAACTATCTACCCATACCTGGAAGATATCCCAGACCCTCAAGTCAACTGGATCCCTTGTAATCATCCCAACAGGTAAAAAAGCAGACGGTAAAAAATTTAATCATAAATGTGAGCTTATTTCACTGGGGAAAATTTTGCAGAAGATCCACTATGAACTCTAAGTTTCAAGATAGTTTTATTATTTTTCATCTCATTGGGAAACATTTAATAGAAAAGTAAATGTGTGTAATAAAATCACAGAAATCAGTGCTAGAAGTTAACACAGAAATCATCAAATTCAGTGTGAATTTCCACGGAGGGACTGACTCTGGAGAGACGATAGTGCAACTTCCTTAGGGTCACGAGGTAGCTGGTTAGTGGGAGAACCAGGTCCAGACTCTAGCCTCCTTGACTTCTTACTGGGGAACAGAAAAATTGTTTCTCTATTGGGTCTGTAATTCAAAAAAATGTGTGAGTAAATAGCAAAAGAGAGTCACATGTCAGTTGTTTAGAATTTAAAATTTTTCTTTCTCATCCATTAGTAGTTGATGAGGTTAATGTGCATGAAATCCTGAAAGCTTAAGTAGAACTGTGTAAGTGGTTTAAATTAAGTCCAGTCTAAAGAAATATGAAGTGTGATGAAAATAGAACTATTACTTTTAATATAAGCAAAACAATATCTGATACATCTAAGAGATGCATGTCAGTTAACTCCCTTCTTTCCAACAGCTAAAATTGTAGGAATTCCTCCTCTGCAATCCTCTCAAAACCACATGAACTAACTACTGTAACTGCTTATAGAGCTACCTTGATTTTGACAAGTTTCGATATTATTTATCTTAATTATCTACTTTACTTATATTTCACTGCATCGTAATTGTTTCTTATTTTGCCATTTCCCATGCTAGAGCTTCAGTTTCTAAAAAGCAAGAACTCTATTATCACTTCCAGTATAAATCGACTTTTCCTTAGAACCAAATTTCCAAGGGCCTCCAGAAAATCCTCACTAGGATGTTCCATTTTAAGGAGTTTGATTTTCCATTTATATTTTCCATCAGCCAATTGAATCTCCATCCCTTGCCTTCATTCATTTATTGAACATTTTTTTTGAGACCCTATTATGTCCAGGCACTATTCTGGAAAATGGGCTGATCAAAACAGATTAAAAACCTCTATCCTCCAGGAGTTTATAATAATCAATTGGACAAAAAAAGGATAATATATACCTAGCTAACTATTTATCACCTGTCACCTTTCTACCTTTCTGTGATATGAACAGGACAGGTAAATATGGTGGCGCATGTGGGTCTTTAATTTGTCGGTCATCCGAGGGCTTCACGGGACATCTAAGCAAAACTTAAAGGAAGTGAGGGAGTAGGACAGACAAGCATCTGAAAAAGAACGTTCCAGCCCGAGAGGATTCTAAATACCAGGATCTTGTGGTCAGAGTGTGTGTTTGGCATCTGAGGACCAGCAGAGTGTTGTGTGGTTGGAGTGATGTGAAGGAGGAGGAAAGAGGTAGGAGATAGATCAGGAGGGGCAGGATTGCATAAGGACTTGTGGGCCATGATAATGACTTTGCTAATTGAGCGAACGGTAGCTATTGGAGAGTTTTGAGCAGAGAAGTGACATGTTCTGACAAGTGAACCTCTTTGGCAGATAATGGAGAAAATAGAGTACAGGGGCCATTGCAGCGGTTGAGGCAGAGAGATGATGGTGTTTGGACCAAGGTGTTAGAAGTCTGAGTATTGAGAAATGACCAGATTCTGAATAAAGTCTGAAGGGAACTCGGACAGGTTTTGCTGAAAGATGACATGCAGGAAGTGAGAACAAAAGAGGCGTTCAGAGCCTTTGTTCTTCAGGAGAACTGGCTGGAGAAGGAATGCAGGACACCAGGAATCAGACAATATAGGAAACTCACACTGCAAAGAAGCACCCCACTGCACATCCGCATTCCTGTAGACCCAAGCCCCTGCCTGAAACCACTGATGACAATAGCTTCCCACCTGTGGACACATGTAAGGACGAAACTCCTGCTCCTAGGGGCTGCCCACATTGACCCAGTACCCATGGTTCGGTGACGTGTAGTCCTTCCCTTTGGAAATCGCCACCCCCCATCCCCTTTTGCTCTTCACATGCAATCAGATGGCTTGTCTTGTTGAGGATACCTGAAATACCCCATTGTTTGCTCACGGTCACCAACCTTTTTTGGTGCCTGCATCACCGGTTAGCCTGGGTGTTTTGGGAACAGGACCATATCATTTCCATTTATTTATTTATTTAATATTCATACTTCATATGCTTCCAGAAGGATTTGAGCTTTCTTACTGAACCTTATGTAATTAAAAAATAGGACAGTTTAGATATAAAAACAACTGGAAGCCACCTGAATAAGGGAGAGGAAGCAGTTGTTACAAGGCACCATGGTGGTGGGCCGATACTTACAACTGGACTGCCCTATAGTTCTGAGAGTCCCTGGGAGGCTTAGAGAGAAACAGTTAGACTCAGAAGCTTTCATTGCCTTGAAGAAGAAAGCTCACAGATTTCTTGAGAGACAACCGATGTGCAATAACCTAACTCAAAGAGAAATGTATTAATTCCAACATTTTTTCATTGACAATTTCTTATGGACCAGGAGTGCCACTCTGTGAGTCTGTAAGAGTTCTTGCATAAGAGGCATCCTTCCGCACAGTAAATGTCTGCACCTATGATCAAGGTGACCTGGCTTAAAGATTAAAGAGTCAATCCCTAGTTCAATAAATTAAGAAAAAGCTTGATTACTGAGTTGACTTGTATAAAAAAGCATTTTGCTGTTTTAGGTGTATTGTTTGCACTGAAAGTTCAGGTTTTGTGTGCAGAGATGGTTTGTCCAGTAACATGACATGGTTTTGAAGTGCACCCAGCATATCTTATACAGTCCAGTGTCTCCCACACTGCACTTGGGCAGGTCTGCCCAGCATGTCCCTGCCTCAGATGCTCACACATCTAGCCATGGCACTTTGTAAGAATTCAGCAAATACGTGTTGAATATTAAATGTGTACTTACTATAAATGAGTGAATGTCTTCTTCAGTAATTAGTAATTTTTGTTATATTTTGAGAATTAACACTTTGAAATAAGTCTTAGGAAATGCATTTTCATTGTTCTGTTTCATCTCCTTCTGTTCCCAATAGCACCCGGTCAGAGGTCTCTGCAACATTAAGGGCTTGGCAAATATGGATTAAGTGACAGGCAGATTTCAGGCTCATATAAGCAAAATTCTTTTTTTTTTATCCTCACCTGAGGACATTTTTCCAATTTTTGTACAGATAGAGTGGGAGGGAAAGAGAGGAAGAGAGAGAGAGAGAGAAACATCGACGTGAAAGGGACACATCGAGTGGCTGCCATCCGCACAACCAACCAGGGCTGGGGACAAACCGCAACCGAAGCACGCGCCCCTAGTGGGAACCGAACCCGGGTCTCTCTGGACCGCAGGCCGACGCTCCAATCGCTGAGCCAAACCGGCCAGGGCAGCAAAATTCATTTTTAAGTTTTAAATCAGGATATGTGGTTTAACAAAGAATTTTTGGAGGCTTTCTGGCTATAGCAAACACTCTGAGAAATGATGCAATTTTAAGATTAAAAACAATCAAACAAGAGGGAAATATGTAATCAGGACTGCTTCAGAAATCCAAAACACCAGGCTTCTACTTTACGTATCCATTCTACCACTTCAGGTGACCTGGAAAGACTTGGGAGTCATGTTTCAAGTGATTCTATGCGTTGCATTTATTTCTGTGTATTTTGTATATAATTGAAGCAAATGAGTGGGGAAGTTATCAAATGGTCACTTATATAAATGCGTTAAAGTAATTTTTAGATACGTTTTTCTATACTTCCTGGTTTTTAACCAGGATATGTTTTGTAGATGATTGCTATGTTTTGCACCAATTTATAGATTTAATGGTCTCGATTAGATACTCAAAGAAAGCTTTCGTTACTATTGTCAGTAGATGGCACCACATTTTCATTCATTCAAGAGTTATCCCAGTCTTAGCTGCAGTTCAGTAACTCAGTATTAACCATTAATTATTTTTATTTTGGCATGGTGCCAATACAAAATAAATGTGGATAAATGTCACATATTCTGAGGTTTCACTTTTCAAAATTGCATTTAAGTTGCTTTTCTGGGACAACAGCTGGTAATATGATAAAAAATAAAGAAATTAAGCATTAGCAAATGTTCCAGTATTCCCATCTTTCCATACTGGCTGGCACTGTCCTAGCCTAACTCTGGTTGCCTCTAATCTCAACTACTGAAACAGCTTCCTAATGATTTCCCTACATTTACCTCTAGCCATTCTAGTACATTTACACTGTGAAGTCCTATTAAACTTAATGGGTCTATTAAAGAAATTCGGATCATATTACTCCTGTCCTCCAAGCATTTAATGGTCCCTCCTTGTCTATTGAATCTGAAACAGGTTTCTTAGCCTCTTACGCGGAGTTCTATCTCCTATGACATGCATATTTAAGATTCCCCTTGTGCTTTTCTTTTTTAAAGATTCATCAGTTTTCCTGAGTAAGATTTCTCTTTTCTTACCGCCTAAGGTTTTTCCACCTATTGTTTCTAATTGTGGTAATATATGTATAATGTAAAATTTACCATCTTAACCCTTTTTGAATGTATAGTCATTGGTATTCGTGACAGTCATATTGCTGTGCAACCATGACCATTATCCATCTCCAGGACTTTCTCTAGCAAATCTCAGCTGGTATACCCATTGAGCAGTAGCTCCTCGTGGGCAGTTGGAGAGATACAGAGAAGATTGGCGTGGCCCCTGTGCGAGAATGATGTGAAGCAGTCTATATTTTTAGAAATGAAAGAGGAGACATTACAACTGATACCACAAAAAATACAAAGAATCATAAGAGAATAACATGAACAATTATCACAGGAAAATGCTACCAAACATTTAAAGAATTAATGTTAAGCCATATCAAAATCTTACAAAAGTTGAAGAGGAAGGATCACTTCCACACTCATTTTATGAGGTCAACATTACTCTGATACCAAAGTCAGATAAGGACACCACAAGAAAAGAAAACTGCAGATCAGTATTGCTGATGGGCCCTGGCCTGTGTCTCAGTGGTTAGAGCACTAGCTTGCGCACTGAAGGGTCAAGGATTTGATTCCTGGTCAAGGGCACATACCTGGATTGCAGGTTCCAACTCTGGCCCCTGTGGTCAGTTGTGGTCCAAAAAATATTAAGTGGAAAATCCCAGAAACAAACAATTAATGAGCTTTGCATTGTGCTCTATTCTGAGTAACATGGTAAAATCCATCCCTGTCCCACTCTGTCCCATCCAGGACATGATTCACCCCTGTGTCCAGCGTATCCACACTGTACACGATAACCACCCATCAGGCATTGAGAAGCCATCTCAGTGATCAGATTGACTGTTGCCATATCAGGGTGCTTGTGTGCCAGTGACCCTTATTTTACTTAATAATGGCCCCAAAGCACAAGAATAGTGATGCTGGCAATTTGGATATGCCAAAGAAGCCACGATGTACATCCTTTAAGTGAAAATGTGAAAGTTCTCATCTTAATAAGCAAAGAACAAAAATCATATGTTAAGGTTACTAAGATCTACGGCAAAAACCAGTCTTCTACCCATGAAAGTGTAAATGGGGAAAAAGAAATGTATGCTAGTTTTCACTGCTGCACCTCAAACTGCAAAAGTGATGTCCCTAAGTATGGCATCTGACCGTTCTCCAGGATTGTTTCTGGTCCTTTATTTTTTTCCTTTGAATGGGCCATACTTTGCCTGTTTTTGTTTTGTTTTGATTTTGTATGCCTTTTATTTTGGTGATGAGTGAACATTTGAAGTTTACAATGTGATAACTGGAAATCAAAACTTCTCCATTCCTCAGGGTTTTGTATCTTTGTTTGTTTGTTTTGATTGTTGTAGGCTGTTTCTGTGCTGTGCTAAACTTGAAATGTAATTTCAGGTCTTCTCAGTCTTTTGTTAGCCTGTGCCATTCCCTGGGCACGTGCGGTAACTTTTTAAACTCTCCTATATACGTGGCTGCCTTTTTATGTCTGAGTCCTTATGTTTGGTGCCCAAAAGGGGGGGCGGGGCGGAGAGAGAGCTTATAAATCCTCAAGAAGTCACTTCAGCCAGACGTGGATAGAATTGCAACAACGTTTGGGGGGTGCAACAAAGGCTGCCTGTCCCTGAATCTGCATCTCCAAGACCAGAAACAGTTAGCAATGATCAGAACACAGGTTCCCAACATTTGGAGGAGAGGAGACTTATTGCTCATCCTGTTCCCACAAGCTGCCTGCAGGGTGCTCTTGAAATGCCTGCATGTGTGTCTGCCACGGGGGCCGGGGCGAAGATGAGTCATGGGTAGTCATAGTGCCGAGTTAAGTGCTAAAATCGACTGAAAAATACATCACCTAAGGCAACAGAAACAAAGGAGAAAATGAACACATGGGACTACACCAACTCAAAAGCTTCTGCACAGCAAAAGAAACAACCACCAAAATGGAAAGGCAACCCACTCGATGGGAGAGCATAATTGCCAACGATACATCAGATAAGGGGTTAATTTCCAATATATATAAAGTGCCCATACAGCTCAACAAAAGGAAGACAAAGAACCCAATTAAAAAATGGGCAGAGGGACTAAATAGACACCTCTCCAAATAGGACATACAAATGGCTAAGAGACATATAAAGAAATGTTCAATGTCACTAATCATCAGAGAGACGCAAATTAAAACAACAATGAGCTATCACCTCACACCTGTCTTATCCTTTGAGACGATATGGAGGGACCTGGAGAGTATTATCCTAGGCAAAACAAGCCAAACAGAGAAAGACAAATAGCACATGATCTCACTTATTTGTGAAATATAATGAATATAACAGTCTGAGGAATGAGGTAGTCCCAGAGACGTGGAAGTGGGGTACAGACTGACAATCCCCAGAAGAGGGATAAACCACAGAACTTACATGCATGTATGCATGACTAATGGACATGGACAACAAAGCAGGGGACAGGGTGGGGAGGGAGGGGAGGAAAAGGGGGTATCAGTGGGGGGAAAAGGGGAAACATCTATAACAAAAATAAATAAATAAATAAATAAATAAATAAATAAATAAATAAATAAATAAAATAAAATCGACTGCAATTTACCTTCCAAGCCTTCCCCTGGAAGCTTCAAACCTTCAAATAAACTCCAGAGTTCCAAAATAGTTATTTTGTTTTTAATAAAAACAATAATTTTTAGTTTATAGTACTTGACATCTAATAAGCAGTTTTGGTGCAGCTTGAGTTTTGCAATCATCTTAGGTAGATAAAATTATTCTGACTTCTGGTTCAAGCTGTCAGATTCAGGGTACACAGCAGCGAGCACAACAGGCAGAAATGCCTGCCCTGTGGAGCTTTATATTGTCCTTGAGACACTGGAAGAACTTGAGAATAGGGCAGACTAAGATAATGCAAGGAAAAAAGAAGCAATCATAAACTCCAAAGGGAAAAAAAAGACAAGAAAAATAATAAAGGCAATGTAATTATAACATACTATTCATTACACTGTAAATATTATGTAGTTATAAGAATATAAACAGTTTTTTATCTTTATTGTTGGAAGTTTACAGATGTCCCTCCTTTTTCACCCATTGACCCCCCTCCTCCCCGCTCCCACGTCCCTCCTGCCTTCCCCAAACTATTGTCTGTGTCCATTGGTTATGCATATATGTTCTTTAGTTTATCTCCCATCCCCCAGGCCCCCTTCCCTCTGCGGTTCGTCAGTCTGTTCCCTATTTCCATGTCAGAGTTCCAAAATACTTTTATTAGATTCTGCAAGTGCAATCTATGTGGAGGGAGAGATTCCTGGTGGTTCCAACTCTGCCATCTTCCCAGACATCTTCTAAATTGACCTTCTTTTATTCAAAATAATGCCTCTTTTCTGTCAGGCATGGGATCAGTGAATAGGAGATGTGTGTATTTGTCCCATAATACCTATAAGATGTAACATACATTATATGATTAACACATGAATGAATATATGATTATAGATGATGATAAATGTTATGAAGAAAAAACTACAAGTGAATTTCCACAAGCATATATTTTTTCTGGAGTCTCTCTTTGTTTTAATCCTTCCCTTCTATCTATGTTTGAAATTTATTTTTTGTGTTTATTACATAACAAGTTCAGGCTGCTATCATTCTGAATTTTGTTAAAAGCTAAGTTTGACTTTTGTTTTCTTCTTCCAATAACACATACCAGATTTGGCCACACCCCAGTGCAAAACAGACTCAGCTGCCTGGCCAAGGAAAACTCTATCTACGTTGTGGCAAATATTGGCGACAAGAAGCCATGCAATGCCAGTGACCCCCAGTGTCCCCTTGATGGCCGTTACCAATACAACACTGATGTGGTATTTGACTCTCAAGGAAAATTGGTGGCACGCTATCATAAGGTAGAATTCAATGCAAATAATTAAATTTCTAAAAGCGTAACAAAATAATGTGAGGAAGAGGGAAAAATTCATAGTATTGAGAATACTAAGCATACTTTAGAAGCTGAGTAGAGATAAACATAGACAGCAATGATTAGATGTGGGAAGCTCTTATGAAGAGGCTTAAAAGGTTGTTGAGAGTGTGTGAGAATCAGTAGGACTTCCTGCATTGAAATATAGTGTCACCTTTTGGATTTTGTCCTTTTAAAGAATGCTCTGGAAATGGCTCAAGGCTAGAATGAAACACCCCTTGTCAGAGAGACTTGGCTTTCACTAGAAGGAAGCAAAGAAAGTTCTTTATCCTCAGAAAATAGTTGTGTTCTTGGCAATTATGCGGGTTCTGTTTCACTTTTACCTCTTGTAAGATTCAAGGTCTTAACACATAAGGATTCCCTGTAGTAATCTTGGATTCTGTACACTCTTTCCCTATGAAGCCAGTGGTCACAGATGAAATTAGCATTGTCCAATCCATGTGCGCTTGTACTTTTTCAGACATAGTGACATCCAGGTTATTTTCTAAAAGGAGATTTCTCTTGTCTTCATCTTCTGTTTATTGCAGCAAAACCTTTTCTTGGGTGAAGGTCAGTTCAATGTACCCAAGGAGCCTGAGGCTGTGACCTTCGACACCACGTTCGGAAGGTTTGGCATTTTCACGTGCTTTGATATACTCTTCCACGATCCTGCTGTGACCCTGGTGAAGGACTTCCATGTGGACACCGTCCTGTTTCCCACAGCTTGGATGAATGTGTTGCCACATTTGTCAGCTATTGAATTTCACTCAGCTTGGGCTATGGGCATGAAGGTCAATTTCCTTGCATCAAATATACATCATCCCGCAAAGAAAATGACAGGTAATGTATAATCGTTAAGATTTACAGGCTTGATGTAATCCAAAAATTAAAAAAATATATTTTTTCCTAACTAATATGTACATGTTCTCCTTAATATGATGTTTTTTGACTCTTAATTTTTGCGTATCTAGCTAGTGACATGCGGTAGAATCAATCTTCATCTAAATTGTTTTGAAATGTATTTAGTTTTATTCAACTTGAATCAACACCTTTTATCTGTTTTTTTCAGAATTCACCACTTCTTATGTGATGTTGTTCTTGGCTTGTGGTGTAATACTTTAGTGGATATTTTTCTCATCTGTTGTCCTTAGCATATTTCACTGACATTAATAAAATATATACCTTAGAGGAAATAAAATGTAAATATCAGTTTAAAATAATAATAACAAGCCCGGCCGCTGCGGCTCAGTAGTTGAGCATTGACCCATGCACCAAGAGGTCACTGGTTCGATTCCTGGTCAGGGCACATGCCCAGGTTGTGGGCCCGATCCCCAGTGGGGAGCATGCAAGAGGTAGCCAGCTGATGTTCTCTCTCATCGATGTTTCTATCTCTCTCTCCCTCTTCCTCTCTCTTTAAAATCAATAAAGAAAAAAATTTTTAGATAATAATAACAACTACTTGATCTCTTTTCACTTTTCTATTACAAATGTCATTTCCAACTTACAACTTCCAGGAAGTGGCATCTATGCACCTGATTCTCCAAGAGCATTTCATTATGATATGAAGACCAAGGAGGGAAAACTCCTTCTCTCACAACTGGATTCCCACCCAAACCACCCAGTCGTGGTGAACTGGACGTCTTATGCCAGTGGTATAGAAGCACTCTCCACAGGAAACAAGGAATTTAAGAGCATTGTCTTTTTTGATGAATTCACCTTCTTGGAGCTCAAAGGAGACACAGGAAATTACACAGTTTGTCAGAAAGATCTCTGTTGTCATCTAAGCTACAAGATGTCTGAGAAGGAAGCCGATGAAGTGTATGCCCTAGGGGCATTTGATGGACTGCACACTGTAGAAGGGAGCTACCATTTACAGGTAACACTTATTTTGGTGGCGGTGGAGTTACCAGATAAAATATAAGACACCTAGTTACATTCAAACTTCAGGTAAACAAGGAATCGTTTTTATTATAAGTATGTCCCACTTTGGGGGCTATGTATACTAAAAAGTTTGTTGTTTACCTGAAATTCAAATTTAGTTAGGCATTCTAAATTTTTATTTGCTAACTTGCAATTTTAGATGTCAGTCTGATTTCAAACTGGATGAAAAAAGGCAAAACATTTATTTTGCAGTACCAGTGTTTATAATTATATAATAATCACATTAGAGACTATTTTAATGGGTTATTAACGTCTGATATTTCCTACCTGAACAATTTTAGCCATTTTCCCTACATGTTCATTAATGTCTATATTGTTGTATAAATAGCTTAACACTAAGTATGACCTGGAGACATATGGAGTTGCTCTCTGAGATGTATAGTAAAATAGTTTATAGATGAAAAGATTCAACTATCTATTATCCTTCAACATAATGCAGGACCTGTAACAGTCTTATGAGATGGAACTCCTAAGAAAAATCAGGTTTCTTGTTCTCTTTCTGGTCTTATCTTCCTTGATCCTCCAATCTTATTTCACGTAGGTTATCACAGTATCCTCTTAACAGAGTTTCCTACTGACAGTTTCAGCTCCATCCGGTCCATTCCTGACACTGAAGTCTTATGTGCCCTTTTCTACTCTCTGTTGTCTTCTCTCACTTCTACCCATATGGGCCCTGGGACATGTCATACTGAGACTTGGCCCCATCTCCAATATGCCAGCACCTGCAGAACCGCTGGGTGTTTCACAGGCTGTTTCCTTTATCGATGACACTCCCTCCTAGTGCTTTTCAGGCGTTGTCTTCAAGAAGGTGCCCTGACACTTCCTGCGGCACCACTCCCATCTCCCACTGGGCCAGGTGCCTCTTTTATGTGCCCCGAGGCACCCTGGGCTTAACTTTATCAAAGACGTGTGCTGTCACATTATGTACATAATTTTATATGAGATTGAAAGCCCCTTGAGTGCCGGAACCGCCCCCGCGGGGTCAAGTTTTGTTTGCTGTGTGATGGCACTCTACCAGTGTTTGTTCATTTTGACAAACACTGATCAACTGCCTCCTACCTCCCAGGTATACATTCTGCGCTGATGACATGGACATGAAAAAGTCTAGACCCTCCTCATGCGGAATCTAGGGGAGAAAGACATATGAACAGACAATTTCAGTACGGATTGGCATGTGACAGAACCTAGAATGCACACTTTGCTGTAGAAATACTAGGGAGCTGTACTTTGCCTAATCTGGGGATCCAGGGACATTTCTGGAGACATGATGTATAAGCTTATGCTGTTGTCTAAGTAAAAAAGAGGGAGAGAACCGAGGTGGAAAGCAGAGCATGAACGAGGGTGTGGGTATGTGAAAGAACAAGGAATGCAGGGAAGAGCGAGCAGTTTGGTGTCACCAAGGCACAACACAGTAAGATTCGGACTTTATTGTGCCAGTGGCGTTCTTCTGCTGGGAGGTGACACCATTTATACGGTATTGCATCTGGTTTTGAGTAGATTATCTTGGCTACACTGTGGATGATGGAACTAAGGACAAAATGAATAGTTAGATGATTAAAATAGTCCTCTTAGAACCTGGACCAAGATTTATGTTAGTAGGAATAAAAGCAGAGTATGGAGTCAACAAATAATTAGGAAATTGAGCTTAGTAGCTAATTTGACATGGAAGAGAAAAGCAGAGTGAAGGGTCTAGAATGTGCCAGGTTTTTAACAAGAGCAGTTGGTGGATGTGATGCTCTGACAGGTCAGAATGCATGGGCAGGAGCAAACTGGGTAGCCGTGGGGAGATGCTGGGTCCTGCTGGGTCCTGCCTTGGCTGTGCCGCTTTGGGAGCAGCTACGGGACATTCAGCTGGAGCCATCCAATAGGCTGCTGAACACATGGGTCTGATGCATGTGGGAGACAGTGCATTTAGAAATATTATTTTGAGCATCAGCAGAATAAAGGTGTTGTTTAAACACACAAGAGTGAATGGCATTACAAAGCTAACTACATAACAAAGAACAGTGGTCTGGAGGTGGAACCTTCGGAGCTCCAGTGTTTGGGCAGGAAATGAACAGAAAAATAAGAACCTGGGGTTGTGTGGGTGGCAACCAGTTGGGGTGTCTCTCTCACATAGATGCTTCTCTCTCTCTTGCCCTTTCTCTCCCTCCTGCTCTATCTGAAGATAAATGAAAAAAAAAAAACAACCCACATTAAACACATTTTGTAGAAAATTACTTATTGCCATATATATATTACCATGTGTTCTGTGACATTTTGACATTAACTGCACTATGTATGGGGTATATATGATAATATGTTGCCATATTAATTTTTAAAATTCAAAATTTACAATATATTATTTCTTATTTTTTGGGATATATTTTTTAAGTTAAGAAAGTTGGTTATAAAACAAGATAGCCATCTCTTAGCTCTTCTTCTCTCTCTTTTTTTCCTCCCCTCCTCAATCCCATCCTGCCTTTCTGCCTCCACCAGTCTTGGCTCCCCTGGAGGAGAGCAGTGGTAAGTCCCTTCTCTGCCCTGGAACTGTCAAGAGAACCCTCTGTTACCGTGCTGGGCAGTGGTCCCTTGGCTAAACCACTGGTGCCAGACAGGTTTTGGAATTTAAAATTCTAAATTTAGTAGTTATTTTCCTATATAGGGTGACACTTTAGGATTACCAAAAACTGAAAGTTCTAAGCACATGGGTAATACTTGGCATTTCAAGCTGAGGGTGATTTAACTTGGCCTTTGGTTAGGGGAATCCCTCAGTAAGTATCTTTAGAGACTTCTGTAAGAATGAGGCGGAATGAGGAGGTGCAGGGTCTCCAGAAGCGCAGGTTTATTGGGAATTAGCCTGCCGGACTGTCTTTAAGGAAAGAGTAGCAACCGGCTTGTACAGACTAGGGATTTTTTTTTTTTTTTTTTTTGGTATGTACCCCTAGCAGGAACCAAACCCAAGATTCTCTGGTCCGTAGGCCGACGCCCCAACCGCTGAGCCAAACTGGCCAGGGCCAGACTAAGGATTTTTAAATTTAGGGGTGGGGCGGGGGGGGGGGGGTGTTGTTCAGTGGAGGAGACCTGGTCGTCTTTGATTGGTCGGGCCTGGGGTCTCCCGAGTTCTTGATTGGTCGGGGGCTGGGGTCTCCTGAAACTTGTTTTTCTTGTTGAGGGACCGTTTGCAGTTTGGGTGGGTTAGGGTGGTTCCGTCATTCCGTTCTGGTTCCCTGATTCCGTTCTGCCTGACTGGGGTGATGGGTTTGGGTTTCCTGCAATGAGAGGCTTCGGGCAGTAATACGAAAGTTAAGAGCTAACAACTTCCTCTTGGGTTGGTCAGGTTTTTCAAGTTTCAAATCCTGCTAGTGCAGGATGACCAAGTAAATTTAAAGTTCAGATAAATAAGGAGTATGTATTTTCACATATAAGTAAGACCCTTATGATACTTAGGATATTCTTATGCTAAAAAACTATTTTTAGTATTTTCAATGTAACTGAACTTGATTTAACTGGAACTCCTGTCGTGTTCCTCCTGGCAACCCTATTCCTGAAGGATAGGTGCCTCCCTGCCAGCAGGGCGAGCCCACGGGGAGAGATGGCCCCGTAGGGTGGGGTGGTGGTAAAGGCAGATGATCCCGACACTCAGTATGACTCATTCATATAATCCCCTTCAATCACGCTTTTTAAAACCCCCATCCAAACACCATCTGCTTTGCCCTTTCAGGAACTAAACTCTCTCTTCTTTTACTGGAATAGGGAGGGGCGGTTGCCCATCCACGGAGGGGACTCAGTATCTGAGGCATCTGACAGCTCCCCACCAGCGTTGCTTACTGTAGCCACCACAACGTTAACAGCGGGTGAGGTACCTCGGGCTCCAGGGGTGGGGTCTCTGGAGTGCTTTGCAGGGTAGTTAGGTTGATTCTTGCCTTTTCCTCGCTGCAGTTTGGGACTTGGCTTTCTTAGATCTGCTAACTCAGTTACGATTTTTGCATTGACCTCCCAGCTTCTAAAAGTGTGCCATGATCTAGCCTCCTGGACTCCTATCCTTGTAGATTTATATCTTCAGAAAATATTAATGTTAGTTCTAGTAGGATTTCAAGAGAACAAAAAGAAGCGTGTGTTTACCTTTATCTGAAAGTTGTTTGTATCCCATCATAATACACTTGCCCTAAGTGCTTTCTGTTTAAATACAAAAGCTGAAGTAGGGAGGCCAGTTGAAGGCTGTTGCTTCAGTCAGGCAAGAAATGAAGATGGCTTGGTATAGGTTTGGAAGATGCAGTACAGGTGGAGTTATGAGAAGGCAGATCTTTCCCTGGCTGGTGGTTCAGTAGGTAGGAGTGTCATCCGGTGCATTAAAAAGGTTGCGGTTTGATCCCCAGTTACGGCGCATACAGGAGGCAACCGATGGATGTTTCTCTTTCATCAATGTTTTCTTCTCTCTCTAAAGTCAATAAAAACATATCCTCAGTGAAGATTAAAAACTAAAGAATATAGCCCTAGCCGGTTTGGCTCAGCGGTTAGAGTGTCGGCCTGCGGTCCGGAGAGACCCGGGTTCGGTTCCCACTAAGGGCACGTACCTTGGTTGCAGTTTGTCCCCGGCCCTGGTTGGTCGTGCGGGTGGCAGCCACTCGATGTGTCCCTTCACATCGATGTTTCTCTCTCTCTCTCTCCCTCCCACTCTATCTGTACAAAAAAAAAAAAAAAAAAAAGGAAAAATATCCTCGGGTGAGGATAAAAAAAAAAAAAAAAAACTAAAGAATATAGATTTTATTTTGGGGACTTTCTGCATGGTTAGGTGATACATACAATTAGAATTCACATTTAAATAGCTATGTAGTATAGTGACAGCTGTTTCAGTCCTTGCTCAGATACAAAAATAAAATATATGACTTTTTCAGATCACAGGGGTTGTCTCTAGATCAAATCTAGGGTTCACTACAACTTTAAAGTTCTTTCATTGTGTGGCAGAGACAAGAAATTAAACTAGTGTCAAAATTAAACTTAAAAAAAAAATAAACATGGAAGATTTGACTTTGGCTGTAGGCACACAGTGCAAGATACAGATGATGTATTATAGAATTGTACACTTGAAACCTATATAATTTTATTAACCAATGTCACCCCAGTAAATGTAATGATTTAAAAAATTGAGCACTTGTTTATTAAAAGCGTTGCTAACTTGAAAATGACGGTATAGTGGTTCTCAGCTACAGACCAAAGATTTGATTGTTTCTTTTTGTGGTTCAATCTGCTTGACAGTGAATGGCAGAAAACACCAGGGTCTGAGTTCCTTATTTTCGTTACTAGTTGCATTAGCTATTCAGCAATGAATTGGATTAATCAATTGAGGAAATAGTATTATTTTACCAAACAAAGGGACATGGCATTATTTCGGGGTCAGGAGAGCGTGTGAGTTGGCTTTCTGCGGAATTCACAGTTTGCTTTTACTTTCCCAGATCTGCACCCTGTTGAAGTGTAAAACAACCAACTTGCACACTTGTGGTCACTCGGTCGAAACTGCTTCCACCAGGTTTGACATGTTCTCCCTCAGTGGTACGTTTGGAACCCAGTATGTCTTTCCTGAGGTGTTGCTGAGTGGAATTCAGCTGGCACCTGGAGAATTTCAGGTAAAAATCTTTGCTTAATATTGCCAACTCATTTCATGTAAGAGGAAGCACTTTTTTAGTACAAAACCTAAGGTGCTTACAAATACCATAAAAACCTCCATTTGAAAAGGGTAAAATTGTCCTTAGGGCTCACAAGACAGTGAGTAGGATGCATTTTTCTTTTTTTTTAATCTGGAAAGTCTGAACATAATAATTAGGGTGTCCTTGAGAATAAAGACATACGATTGTGGGGCTATCGGGACGAGGCTGGGCTGTCGGCTGAACAGAAAGGGGATGTGAGGCGTCCCAGGAGCAGTTCCACCAGAAGCCCCCTGGCATTGCTGGGCAGCAATGACCTCGGGAAGTAAAAAGGAATTCCCCTCATGGGGTGGTGAAGGCTCCATGTGCCCAGAAGAGAACGGGAAACAATGACAAGCAGAGGAAAGAGAACTTCACAGTGGCTGATGTGGGCAAGAAAGCAAAGAGGAATCTTTTCTAGAGGCCAGAAATAATCCTTACTGCCCAAGCACTCTGCCTCGCCATGCTTTTCTGCTGAATCCCTGCAAGTTGTCACCACTCTGTCCGGATGGAAACAGCTCCTGTGGGGAGCTGGGGACCACGGGGAGGTTGGAGAGCTGTGGTGAGTCACTGACAGCGTTGATAGTGGCTCCGCTCAAACTCCCCTTAGTCAGTCTCTTCTGATCATTGGAGGAGTCTTCAGCTTGCCTGAGAGGACTAGATCTCTCTCTTATGTACTCCCAAATCCACTGTTTTATGTTTATTAATTCGTGGGATGCTTCCTCAGGTAAGCAAATTCTAAAACATTGATTAGCAGCCTTTCAGTAATAAATGGGTCAGTGCCAGTTCCATAGCTCCAGTTTTTCTTGTGCTCTGTATCATTCCGAATATTTCTGGTAGAACAGAATCTGGCCTTTATCTTTATTGTTTCCTCATCCAGTTGTTCTGAATTTTCAAAGTGTGTTGTGAGTTGTATAACTTAAAGTTAGACCCCCCCCCCCTCAATTTCTTTTTGTTTTAATTAGGTGTCAAGTGATGGACGCTTGTTTAGCTTGAAGCCACCATCTGGACCTGTCCTGACAGTCACTCTGTTTGGGAGGGTGTATGAGAAGGACCACCCATCCAGTGCTTCGTCACACCTCACGGCAGAAACACTAATAGTAATGCTATAGTTGTAACATCTGTGGTATGCTCATGAAGTTGGTTGCATTTTTATATTTTCTTTTTTCTTTTGAATAATTTTTTTTTTATCCTCATCCAAGGACATTTTTGCATTTATCTTCAGATAGAGTGGGAGGGAGAGAAGGAGGAAGAGAGAGAGAGAGAGAAACATGGACTGGTTGCCAGCCACAGGACCCCAACATGGGTAGGGGATAAACTGCATCTCAGGTATGTGCCCTGAGCTGAAACCAAACCCGGTCTCTCTGGTCCGAAGGCCGACACTCTAACTGCTGAGCCAAACTGGCCAGGGCTATTTTGAATAATTTTTAAAATGATGATGAGCCCGGCCTGCATGGCTCAGTGGTTGAGTGTCAACCCATACACCAATAGGTCGCCGGTTCGATTCCTGGTCAGGGCACATGCCCAGGTTGTGGGCCCTATTCCCATTAGGGGGCATACAGGAGGCAGCTGGTCGATAATCTCTCTCATCGACGTTTCTATCTCTCTCTTCCTGTTCCTTCCTCTCTCTCTAAAACCAATAAAGAAAAATAATAATAAACTGGTATTTTGCTCAATGATTTTGTTGTTGTTCTATATTGTAATTTCTAATACACGAATATTGGAATATAAGGAACATATGGAGTTTATTATTAACTAGTAAAATGCTGGTTTCTTATTAGTTTTAATAGTCTTTCGATTGTTTTTCTTGGTCTTTCAGCGAAGCAATTGTCAACAGTAAATAATAATGATTTTACCTTTTCCATTCCAAAGTATGCATTCCTTGTTTTGTTACCTTCTCTGATTATATTGACTAGCACTTCTACAATGATTTTAAATTGTGGTGGTAATAGGATTCATTCTTGCCTTTAAAAAACTTAAAAAAAATTTTTTTTAAATTACAGCTGACATACGACATGATATTAGTTTCAGGTGTACACTCCAGTGATTAGACATTCTATAACTTAGTAAATAATCATCCTGATAAATCTTGTACCCATCTGACACCATACATAGTTATTAAAATATTATTGACTATATTCTTTATGCTGCACTTTACACCCCCATGGCTGTTTTGTAACAACCAATTTGTACTTCTAATTTCTTCAGCTTTTTGTCACTTCTCAAACCCCTTCCACCTGGCAATTGTCAAAATGTTCTCTGTATTTATGAGTCTGGGTCTATTCTATGTGTTTGTTTGCGTTGTTTTCTAGATTCAGTTGTTGATAGGTGTGTATATATTTCCATTTCATTGTTCATACTTTTTATCTTTTTTCTTCTTTTTCTTAAAGAAGATTCTTTAACATTTCAGTAATACAGTATTGGTTTGGTGTTGCTGAACTCCTTTAGTTTTTTCTTGTCTGGGAAGCTCTTTGTATGTCCTTCAATTCTAAAGTGGAGCTTTGCTGGGTGGAGTAATCTTGGCTGTAGGTCCTTACTTTTCATCACTTTGACTATTTCTTGCTAGTCCCTTCTGGCCTGCAAAGTTTATGTTGATAAATCAGCTGACAGTCATATGGGGGCTCCCTTATAGGTAACTAACTGCTTTTCTCCTGCTGCTTTTAAGATTCTCTTGTCTTTAACCTTTTGCATTTTGATTATGATTTATTTTTGTGTGGGCCTCTTTGGGCTCATCTTGTCTGGGACTATCTATGCTTCCTGGACTTTTATGCCTATTTCCTTCACCAAGTTAGGGAAGTTTTCTGTCATTGTTTTTTCAAACAGGTTTTCAATTTCTTGTTCTCTTCTCTGCTTCTGGCACCCCCATGATGTGAAGGTTGGGATGCTTGAAGTTGTTCCAGAGGCTTCTTATGCTATCCTTATTGTTATATTTTTTATTCTTTTTTTTTTTTTTGCTATTCTGATAGGGTGTTATTTTCTTCCTTATATTCAAAATCACTGTTTTGATCCTCAGCTTTATCTACTCTACTGTTAATTCCCTATAAATTATTCATTTCAGTTAGTGTATCCTTAATTTCTGACTGGTTCTTTTTTTATGGTTTCCATATCCTTTTTTCATGCTGTTGAAGTTCTCTCTGAATTCATCTACTCTTCCCCTAAATTCATTGAGCATCCTTATAACCAGTGTTTTGAACTCTGTATCTAGTAGGTTGCTCATCTCCATTTTGTTTAGTTCTTTTTCTGGAGTTTTGTTCTGTTCTTTCATTCGGGACATGTTTCCTTGTCTCCTCAATTTGGCAGCCTCCCTGTGTTTGTTTCTATGTGTTAGGCCGAGCTGCTGTGTCTCCCAAGCTTGGTAAAGTGGCCTAATGGTGTGGCTATCTTGTAGGGTCCAGTGGCACTATCTCCCTTTTCACCTGAGTTGTGCACTTCAGGTCCATTCCCTCCCATCCTTGACTCCTGCATGGGCTGTGTACATCCTCTTGTAGTTGAGCCTTGATTGCTATTGGCACATCATTGGCAGGGATTTACCCAGGCCACTCAGTTGCACAGACTGGCCACAGCCATAATAAAGGATCAGCTGTGCAGGAGCCCACCTCAGGGATGAGGACTTAATTTAGCGGGGCTCTTGTGTCTGTTGATTCCACTCCTTGAGTGTGTCACTTGTGGAGGTGGTTAGGTGGTGATTCAACGTGGTCTGAAGCATGGTTCACTGGGTGAGCTGAATCTGGGGCCTACTGGGAGGTGCAGGTCAGCCACCAACTGTGCTTTGCTTCATGCTATCCAGCATGAGCTACAAAGCAATCTGAAGATGGGTGCTAACTGTGCTGGGCTTCAAGATGCCCAGAAGAGGACAAACTGCAAACAAAGGCCAACTGCTGCTAGTGTTAGGCCTGGGGCTACTTAGTGAGAGGTACTGAACTCGCTGAAGCCAGATGCTGTTTGAGAAATTTTAGGGAAGTTTGAAGCATGAACCAAGACGGACTATTGGTATGAAAGAGTCTGGAAACAGCTTGGGTGGGCCCACAAGTTGGGTGAAGCAGGGTCTCAGGGAGTCATCAGGGTGGGGCAAAGAGTGGTAGCCAGGTGGGTGGACTCAGATATAATACCCACCTGCCAGCTCTGCAGGGGAAGGGTTCAGGAAAGGAACACTGGCCTCTGCAGAACTTCTGTTTGGCTAAAAGCTGCTTCTCTAGCTCCCATCCTGATGTCAGGCGGTTCGGTTCCTCCCCGTGTGTTCCTGGGGTCCCTCAAGCTGCTACCCCAGTGCTGGAGCTCAGAGAGCACGAGACCCTCAATGATTATTAAAGCCAGATTTTAACTGCATCCTTACCTTTGTAAGGGCAATATGCCACGTTCCTCATAGTCAGTCTTGTAGCTTTACCAACTACAGACTTCGAGAGCATGCAGGTGAGGGCTAAGGTGAAAGTAAATGATTAATATTAAAATGTATACACCTTCTGGAACAAAGATTGAACTTAGGTGATCATATCTGTGGACGTGGCATTGAGAATAAAGATTTCCTTTGAGACATTAGGAGAAGACTGTCACCATATAAAATGGGAAAATTTCAGACTGAAGAGGTAAATTTAGAAGGATCAATGAAAATGTGTCAACAGAAGAGTAAGCTCTTTTAATCGTTCTATTTTGAAATCAGTTCCATATGGTGGTCCAGACACTGAAATACAGCAAGGGCGCTTATCAGGGTAAATAGCTATTTAGTCACCAAACCTAGAAACTTTGAACTCCTGCCAAAACAAGTAAGGCCCACCTGTCGGTATGGTGGTAGGTTATCTGATAAATAGTTAATGTTTGGGCAATGTGCTTTGTAGACATGTTGACTGGATAAACTTGGAATTGAGTTATAAAAATATGAGTATCACAAAATACTGTTTTAACAGATTACAGTGTTGATTTAATTGAAATTGATTGTGAACTAGCTGATTTTTCTTTCCTTTTTATGATGAAATTTCACCTTGCTCTATCAAATACAATTAACTGAGAGTTTATTTGCTATCACACTATGAGTGAAAATTAATTGAAAAGCCTGTCAGTATGTGTATTCACTTCTAGCTGTAGAGGTGAAATATAAAAGCATTGTAGCAAGAAAATAAAATCTGATAACCTAAAAATTTTCCCCAAGTACATATATAATTTAATTTTAGCTGAATGTAAAAGTTTTCTTCAGAGATTGTTGATAAAAAATATATGATAACAATTTTAGTGCTTAAGAAAATTACAAATACTAATTTTAAAATGTTTTAAAATTACTATTAATATGTTATTTCACTTGCTTAGCTTGTAAGTAATAAGATTCTCCTGGTCACCTATGCACAGATAGGTGTGAAGTCAACTTCTTATTAATGTAGTTATCTCCTCTTTTCCTGGCCAGTTATTTGGAAGGGTCTGTGGAGGAAATCAGCTATGAAGAAAGAAAACACTTCATTTAGACTGTTTTTCTGAAATTTTTTTAGTCATTAGAAGGTTGGAACTCTCAGACAAATATAGAATCAAATTCTACTGCTGCTTCTCAGCAGTAACTTAACACCTAGTTCTCAGTTTCTTGCTTTGTAAAGCAGGGATAATAGCATCATTATTTAGAATCCTTGCGTAAATAAACTAGAGATTTTATGTCATGCCCTCTGCCCAGTGACTGGTTGTAGTTTTAGTAAAAGTTGTTTCTTCTCCCTGTTTTCTCTTCCTCTTTCTCTTCTTCCTCGTCCTCCTTCCATGTTTGAGCCTCTTCCTTCTAGTCCTTCTTCATCTTTCCTCTTTCCTCTCCTCTTCTTCCTTATTATTTCCCTTTCTTATTAGTGACAATAGCCTAGCTTAAGCTGTGCTTACTTGAGCAGTATATTCAGGTTCTGTCTTCAAGAGTTCCCAAGATGCAGCACATTGTGGAAGATCTTCTATTACAAACCATTGCCCCAGTGTATCACTGCCACCCCTCCCATGGCGGGAAAGGTGAGGAGGATGACGTTACTTCTTTTTTTATCCTCACTAGAGGACATTTTTGCATTTTATCTTCAGATAGAGCTGGAGGGAAAGAGGGGGAAGAGAGAGAGAGAGAAACATTAATGTGGGAGAGACACAAACATCAAGTGGTTGCCACCCACATGACCCCAACTGGGGCCAGGGACAAACTGCAACCGAGGTACGTGCCCTTAGTGGGAACTGAACCCAGGACTCTCTGGCCCATGGACTGGCGCTCTAACCGCTGAGCCAAACTGGCCAGGGCTGAAGTCACTTCTTACTGGGTCTCTCCATTCTAGGGCACGTGGGAGGATAGGGGAGGGGTCCAGTATAAAAATACATATCCTACAAAATTTTGCAGAATGCTGTCCTCTCTAGGTCTCTGTGGATATAGTACCTGGGACAAAGATTCAAGTTCAATAAGAAATTAACA